TGAATTTAATTAAGTTATTTGAAGAGTTTTGCGTTGTAGTTCCTTCTCGTGGCTATCGCTCGTGATGGGAAACGCGGTTGAGTGGTTACTGCCACTGCGTTTCTCATTTGCATAATAACGGGATGCGAGGCGAAATCGGGAAGAATCTACAAAATCGCCCGAAATTGCCTCACATACATGTTGGATTATATTGTGATGCAAATAACCGCGAAAAGGCTACAGCGCGTTTTCACTCACGTGACCAGCAGCCATGCAAATTTATTGAAGCCAAAGAAAATGTTTACATAAGAAAAGACTTGAACTCCCACAGGACTGGCTAGGTACACCAACATGGCCGCCGTTTCATTGTTTTGGAACTCATACGCAGACAACACATGAAGACTTCATGAAATGTGGAACGCGTATATACACCAGATTTTATTAAAAATATCACTTGCTAAATTTGTTAACAATCAAGATATATTACTGTCTTTTAAAAATACCAAAAATAGTACCGCTAAACTAACACAAAAATCGAATGACTTTAAATGGTTTCAAATAATAATTTGTACAGTCCACGTCTCAACAAATTTCAGAAATATAAAACTTCACGTTTCTGCAAATTACTTGTTAGGGAGTTTACGAAACTACGACGGCGACGCCGAGGACAACATCGATTAAAAAATGAATCTACTCTAAGTCATTTACTTTGTTTATCACTGTCAAAACTATCGCAAAACTAAATCCGGAACACAGCGATAAATTTGAAATAAAAATTGAAAAAAAATTAGCTGTCGCGCGTGGTTCACGTTCTCTAGACAACGCAGAATTTGGTCAAGTCACGTTGTTGTTTTGCAGAGGACGGCAAAGAAATGTACTGAGAATTATAAGGCACACGCACAGCCGTTGCACATGTACTGGTCATTAATTCTCTTGTTCAGGGACGCTCCCGTGGCCGTTGCCGTCGTGGATTCGTAAACTCCCTAATATTGACTCGCTCAAAACCTCTCAAGTGAATCTATGTCCAGGGTCACGTGTACTTAGGTCAGTCTAAGGAACTTTTTATGGTTCAGCTGGAAGCTCTTATGATTCTAGATTTGGCGGTGTCAAAAGGGGAACGGGACCTTTGGATTCACTCGGGTGCAGGTTTTGGGTGTCTAAAAAATAAAATTAAAAGGGAATATCCTCATGCAATCTCACCTTTCAAAGCCTTTCAAAGTAACTGTTACATTAAAAGCAGGTTGAGAAAACTATTCAAAAATTACAATCGTGCAAAAATTTAACACTAAGTTTAGTTAACTAAATTTCCCTAAAAATTAGATGTATTCGATTTTTTCCACAAACAATACTAAAGGCAACTTTAAGCTGCAGCACAATTCATACTTACACTGTAATACTAGGCAAAACGTCCTTAAAACTGGCTATATTTGAAATTTCATTCAAAAAGAAATTGCTAAAATGTTTTTTTTTTTAACTCCAGTAAAAATTAAAAGTTAATTTTCTAAGACTAGCTACCTCCCACTCCGGGAAACAACTGTTACATTACAAGGAGGTCGAGAAAATTTTTCAAAAATCACAATTGTGAAAAAATTTGACACTAAGTTTAGTAACCTAAACTTCCCTAAAAATTACATGTATTCGATTTTTCCCAAACAATGCTAAACGCAACTTTAAGCTGCAGGACAATTCATACTTAAACTGTAATACTGGGCAAAATGTCCCAAAAACTTGCTACATTTGAATTTTTCATTCAAAAAAGAAATTGCTAAAATATTTTTTTTTACTCCAGTAAAAATTAAAAATAACTATCTAAGACTAGCTACTTCCCACTTCGTTCTATACATATCTTACAATAACTGCAATGCTAAAAACGTCGATCAGTAAGGTCGAACTATTACTTCCAGCTGCAAACTTATTTTCCTAAATTGACAGATGTCCACTATTGACTTTAGTAAAGCACAACAGAACACGATCAACGTTTAGTAGACGAAACAAGGGAAGACCTGCTCTGTTTTGCCTGACATGTCAGTAAATAAAACTTGTACAGGAGAAAAGAAAGTCAACGAAAAATTGCCTTCCTGTACACACGCGCTTATTAAAAGATACCTGTCAAGTAACTCTTTCTCTAGAATATTTACGCTCAGTTTCCAGCCAATCAATGAAGAGCTGCGTTCCTCTCCAGTCAATCAAGACCATGCAAAAGCGGGTCTCCGTGAGTTTTCCCGCGCTTTCTTGACGACTGCTGTCGGCCAATGGGCTTAAATGTCACGATGCTTCAGCCCTCGATCCTCTTGGTCAACACCGAACAAAATTTCGCAGGAAGTGAAGTAATCGTGGCTTAAAAGCCAGTGCAATTTTTGGGCGATACCCTTTAAGGGTTATCTCTTTTTACATTGTGCGCAAACCAGTTCATTGACGTTGAAAAGCTGTTGTTGATGGCATGGTCGAACTTCTTCTTGAAGTCTTTGATGGCGTCTTCTTCTGAAAGAGACAGCACGAGTGTCTTTCTCAAGTAACCAATGTCGTCAAGTGACCGCAGCTCTGGGAGGCCAGCGGACAGCATCATGACAAACAGGTTGATCAGAAGAGGTCCCTTGCGGCGAAGTATCAGAAAGGCTCTTTCACAGAGCTGTTTAAACCTAAAACAAAGGGTAAAATAAATATAATTGTTACACCGCTCAACTCAAATACGTTTTCCGACTGGAGGAGAACGTGTCAATTGTCGCGGCTCAAAACTCACTAACTCCCTAGGGCGAAAAAACTCACTTACTCCCTAGGGCGAAAAAAACTCACTTACTCCCTAGGGAAACAACAACTTGAACGTTCGACACGCACACTATTAGGTCGTGCAGCTTGAAACCGCAGCAAATTTGCTGGCCAGCCGGCGTCAAGTAAATAATTCTTTCGCAGTTTTATGTTTTTTTTTTTTTTTTGAGTTGAGAGGTATAGCAAAACACTCAATAAACTGGCCTCTACACGGGAAACAGTGAGTTTTGTTTCCTATCGACTTCAGTGTTACAATACTAAGTGTTTTCCCTTGGAGCCAGTCATTAAGTGCTTAGTGGCCTCGACCGCAATTAAGACAACTTTATTATAAAACCCAGTTAAATGTTCGGATGAAGTAACGCGTGTTAGTAAGTCTTAGAGAGCAAACTCGCTCTAATGTGCCTGGAGGTTCCAGAGTCTAATTCTCTTGGAAATGCAAACTCTTATTCTTGCAACTGCAACTGCTGCTACTAATTTACAGGACACAAGCTTAACTGAGCCTGGAATTCTGCCCAAGAGAGACTCAGATGGCTCAAAACAAGATACATGTACTTGAACTTATACGCCGCCGTACATTACTTGCAAAAAATGTCGGACTATCTAATTTCGGACAAAAAAAAGTGTCCGAAAATAAAACCGTCCCGCAAATTTTTAATCATCCAAAATATTTACATTACAGTATAATAACTTTTAAGTGGCTCCAAAGATCTTAGTTTCCTTTATGGAGCGAACTGTAGTCGAGACTGCTTGAGGTACGTAACGGTTTGATAGAATTTGAATGTGTTATTTATTTTGTGTTATAAAACTGCAGTGAAACTTTCATTTTCACAATCTTGTTTCAGTCTCATTCTTATTTTGTGGGCGTAAATTCGCGTTAGCTACGTTTCAGGAAAATGTCCGACATTGTTTTGATATGCGATAAGAAGTGTCCGAAAGTTAAATGTCCTTACGTTTTTGTAAGTAATGTATATTTGGACCCAAATAATGGCACAAAGGAGAATAGAAGGATTACTTTTCAAACTCCACCGTGTCTTTTCCCTTGCCCTCAGAAATCACGTGTACAAAATGATCGGTGAGTACAAAGGGCACTCTTTCCCTCCGAACTCCAAAGTTGCTAATAAAGTTCCCCAGGATGTGACTGAAATCGATGTGGAACAGCTGCAAAGAAAACGAATTGCTGACTAAACATCGAACTGTTGATAATCAATGTGCAGTTTGTCCTTTAAAAGTGACACACTGTAGTTAAGTATCAACAACAGTTTCTCAAGATACAAAGTGAGAAACAAAGAACGACGTTTCACTCCTCCAGGTAAAATTACAAAAGTCTGTGTTCCGGCCAAAAAGGCCCACAATCGGCAGAGTTCATATCGGTTTCTGTGGCATAAAATGGCTAGAGTATTTCGTCTCTTGTCTTAGTATGTGAAAGGTCTCCCGCAATCAGCNAATTACAATCGTGCAAAAATTTAACACTAAGTTTAGTTAACTAAATTTCCCTAAAAATTAGATGTATTCGATTTTTTCCACAAACAATACTAAAGGCAACTTTAAGCTGCAGCACAATTCATACTTACACTGTAATACTAGGCAAAACGTCCTTAAAACTGGCTATATTTGAAATTTCATTCAAAAAGAAATTGCTAAAATGTTTTTTTTTTTAACTCCAGTAAAAATTAAAAGTTAATTTTCTAAGACTAGCTACCTCCCACTCCGGGAAACAACTGTTACATTACAAGGAGGTCGAGAAAATTTTTCAAAAATCACAATTGTGAAAAAATTTGACACTAAGTTTAGTAACCTAAACTTCCCTAAAAATTACATGTATTCGATTTTTCCCAAACAATGCTAAACGCAACTTTAAGCTGCAGGACAATTCATACTTAAACTGTAATACTGGGCAAAATGTCCCAAAAACTTGCTACATTTGAATTTTTCATTCAAAAAAGAAATTGCTAAAATATTTTTTTTTACTCCAGTAAAAATTAAAAATAACTATCTAAGACTAGCTACTTCCCACTTCGTTCTATACATATCTTACAATAACTGCAATGCTAAAAACGTCGATCAGTAAGGTCGAACTATTACTTCCAGCTGCAAACTTATTTTCCTAAATTGACAGATGTCCACTATTGACTTTAGTAAAGCACAACAGAACACGATCAACGTTTAGTAGACGAAACAAGGGAAGACCTGCTCTGTTTTGCCTGACATGTCAGTAAATAAAACTTGTACAGGAGAAAAGAAAGTCAACGAAAAATTGCCTTCCTGTACACACGCGCTTATTAAAAGATACCTGTCAAGTAACTCTTTCTCTAGAATATTTACGCTCAGTTTCCAGCCAATCAATGAAGAGCTGCGTTCCTCTCCAGTCAATCAAGACCATGCAAAAGCGGGTCTCCGTGAGTTTTCCCGCGCTTTCTTGACGACTGCTGTCGGCCAATGGGCTTAAATGTCACGATGCTTCAGCCCTCGATCCTCTTGGTCAACACCGAACAAAATTTCGCAGGAAGTGAAGTAATCGTGGCTTAAAAGCCAGTACAATTTTTGGGCGATACTCTTTAAGGGTTATCTCTTTTTACATTGTGAGCAAACCAGTTCATTGACGTTGAAAAGCTGTTGTTGATGGCATGGTCGAACTTCTTCTTGAAGTCTTTGATGGCGTCTTCTTCTGAAAGAGACAGCACGAGTGTCTTTCTCAAGTAACCAATGTCGTCAAGTGACCGCAGCTCTGGGAGGCCAGCGGACAGCATCATGACAAACAGGTTGATCAGAAGAGGTCCCTTGCGGCGAAGTATCAGAAAGGCTCTTTCACAGAGCTGTTTAAACCTAAAACAAAGGGTAAAATAAATATAATTGTTACACCGCTCAACTCAAATACGTTTTCCGACTGGAGGAGAACGTGTCAATTGTCGCGGCTCAAAACTCACTAACTCCCTAGGGCGAAAAAACTCACTTACTCCCTAGGGCGAAAAAAACTCACTTACTCCCTAGGGAAACAACAACTTGAACGTTCGACACGCACACTATTAGGTCGTGCAGCTTGAAACCGCAGCAAATTTGCTGGCCAGCCGGCGTCAAGTAAATAATTCTTTCGCAGTTTTTTTTTTTTTTTTTTTTTTTGAGTTGAGAGGTATAGCAAAACACTCAATAAACTGGCCTCTACACGGGAAACAGTGAGTTTTGTTTCCTATCGACTTCAGTGTTACAATACTAAGTGTTTTCCCTTGGAGCCAGTCATTAAGTGCTTAGTGGCCTCGACCGCAATTAAGACAACTTTATTATAAAACCCAGTTAAATGTTCGGATGAAGTAACGCGTGTTAGTAAGTCTTAGAGAGCAAACTCGCTCTAATGTGCCTGGAGGTTCCAGAGTCTAATTCTCTTGGAAATGCAAACTCTTATTCTTGCAACTGCAACTGCTGCTACTAATTTACAGGACACAAGCTTAACTGAGCCTGGAATTCTGCCCAAGAGAGACTCAGATGGCTCAAAACAAGATACATGTACTTGAACTTATACGCGGCCGTACATTACCTGCAAAAAATGTCGGACTATTTAATTTCGGACAAAAAAAAGTGTCCGAAAATAAAACTGTCCGCAAATTTTTAATCGTCCGAAATATTTACATTACAATGTAATAACTTTTAAGTGGCTCCAAAGATCTTAGTTTCCTTTATGGAGCGAACTGTAATTGACACTGCTTGGGATATGTAACGTCTTGATAGAATTTGAATGTGTTATTTATTTTGTGTTATAAAACTGCAGTGAAACTTTCATTTTCACAATCTTGTTTCAGTCTCATTCTTATTTTGTGGGCGTAAATTCGCGTTAGCTACGTTTCAGGAAAATGTCCGACATTGTTTTGATATGCGATAAGAAGTGTCCGAAAGTTAAATGTCCTTACGTTTTTGTAAGTAATGTATATTTGGACCCAAATAATGGCACAAAGGAGAATAGAAGGATTACTTTTCAAACTCCACCGTGTCTTTTCCCTTGCCCTCAGAAATCACGTGTACAAAATGATCGGTGAGTACAAAGGGCACTCTTTCCCTCCGAACTCCAAAGTTGCTAATAAAGTTCCCCAGGATGTGACTGAAATCGATGTGGAACAGCTGCAAAGAAAACGAATTGCTGACTAAACATCGAACTGTTGATAATCAATGTGCAGTTTGTCCTTTAAAAGTGACACACTGTAGTTAAGTATCAACAACAGTTTCTCAAGATACAAAGTGAGAAACAAAGAACGACGTTTCACTCCTCCAGGTAAAATTACAAAAGTCTGTGTTCCGGCCAAAAAGGCCCACAATCGGCAGAGTTCATATCGATTTCTGTGGCATAAAATGGCTAGAGTATTTCGTCTCTTGTCTTAGTATGTGAAAGGTCTCCCGCAATCAGCCATGTTGTGCCGCTCTCAGCCCCACTATGTTCCCCCCTGTCCCCCTCCCCCCTACAAGGGATGCTAGTCCATTGCAGATTATCCCCAGGATTTTTTCAAGCTGTCCCCACAATATTTACCGGTACTCATTTATACACTTGAGTAGAAGAGAGGCACCGCAATAGTAGAATGTCGTGCTCAAGAAATTAAAGGACAGAGGGGAAAAAATGTAAAAGATCAAAGATACTTACTGGGGTAATGTTGTCTTTTCTGTTTTGTGATTCTAATGAACCTACCTGTCCTGTTTTCTTCACCATAATGTTGTCACTGTGCCTGTCACCCACCCCCAGGACATACGTAGCCACACAGTACCCTGCACAGGAAAGCGTGAAACGACGAACAGCCTCGATTAAACTACAGAGGAAACATAAACAGAGTAATAGTTACAATTCAGGCTTGAACAAACACACACAAAAACAAACAAAAAACAAACACAAAAGAAAAATAAAACATGGTACGCGAGCCAAAGCCTAAGGAGCAGTGATAACTAGTGCATTTCAATCATCAAGACTTCAAAATATATATATAAAAATTTTGGGAGTGTTTGGAAGACAATTTCTCCAAAGCATGAAGTTACCTTCATATTCGATTGAATTACCTTATCCCAGTGTGGAGAATAACTCAAAATGCGATCCAATGATGATTCACGGATAAATTTCATCTGAGATTTTTCCATGCCTGGAAATCTAATCACGCGCTTTCCAGAAATTTTCTTTCAGGATTTCTGAACTCAGTGCAAACACTGCAATACACACCTCTCTTCAGTAGCATGGTATTCCTTTAGCCAATCCCAAATACAGTTTTTAGCGAAGGTTGCAGTAACACCTTTAGTTTTCTGTATCTTGGCTATAGTCTCCGCATCATGGACGACCTCAATCATCCCGATAGAACTGCCAGTGGACAAACAACCATACGGGATCATTCTGGAAGACAAAGGATTAAAGTAGTTAAGCTTACTTTTGAGTGACCAATCAGGTCGGCGCTTCAAATGCCATTTCCGAATTACTAGCCTCTTTCTCAAAGCGAGTCTTGGTGCTTGAGGCTAAAGGTAATTCGGAAATGGGCTATTGTGGTTTCCGTAGGATGAAGCGACTAGGCTTATTTCTCCCCCTCCCCCACTCCACCCCCACCACCCTGGATAGGATGTTAGTCCATCAATACCGCTATAACAACATCAATTCTCCTGGTACCCGTTTATACATCTGGATGGTGAAAGGCATTACAATTGGAGTAGAAAACCTTGCCTAAGGTCACAAGCCAGGGCTCGAACCCAGACCACTCAATCCGGAGTCCAGCGCTCTGACAGTTCAGCCATCCTGCTTCCCACAAAAAATGGATACGTTTAAGATTAAAACATTTGTTTCAATCCAGTTAGCAGCCAATTACAGTGTAGGATGTCAAAAATGGGTATAAACTCTGATTTCTGCAGCATGAAGCGATCAGGAATTTTTCTACTCCCTCCTGCGTGGAATGCCAAAGAGTGCCACAGAACTTACCCTAAATCCAGGCCTTCATTTTGCCAAATCCTGTCCATNCGCGTTCCACAGATTTTCTTTCAGGATTTCTAAACTCAGTGCAAACACTGCAATACACACCTCTCTTCAGTAGCATGGTATTCCTTTAGCCAATCCCAAATACAGTTCTTAGCGAAGGTTGCAGCAACACCTTTATTTTTCTGTAGCTTGGCTATAGTCTCCGCATCATGGACGACCTCGATCATTCCGATAGAACTGCCAGTGGACAAACAACCATACGGGATCATTCTGGAAGACAAAGGATTAGAGTAGTTAAGCTTGCTTTTGAGTGACCAATCAGGTCGGCGCTTCAAAGGCCATTTCCGAATTACTTTTAGCCTCTTTCTCAAAGCGAGTCTTGGTGCCCATCCTTTGATATGAAAATGAGATTTCATTCACATGCAAATTAACCTCACTTTCATATGGATGGTTGAGCACCAAGCCTCGCTTTGATAGAGAGGCTAAAGGTAATTCGGAAATGGGCTATTGTGGTTTCCGTAGGATGAAGCGACTAGGCTTATTTCTCCCCCTCCCCCACTCCACCCCCACCACCCTGGATAGGATGTTAGTCCATCAATACCGCTAGAACAACACCAATTCTCCTGGTACCCGTTTATACATCTGGGTGGTGAAAGGCATTACAATTGGAGTAGAAAACCTTGCCTAAGACCACAAGCCAGGGCTCGAACCAAGACCACTCAATCCGGAGTCCAGCGCACTGACTGTTCAGCCACCCAGCTTCCCACAAAAAATGGAATACGTTTAAGATTAAAACATTTGTTTCAATCCATTTAGTAGCCAATTACAGTGTAGGATGTCAAAAATGGGTATAACTCTGATTTCTGCAGCATGAAGTGATGAGGAGTTTTTCTACTCCCTCCTACGTGGAATGCCAAAGAGTGCCACAGAACTTACCCTAAATCCAGGCCTTCATTTTGCCAAATCCTGTCCATGATCTTAAACAGTTGTAACGTTAGCATGTCCTGACGAAGATCTGGGTAACATGAACAAACAGAGCTTATTTCAGATCCCGTTTACAAGTAAGTGTTATATCCACAATAATTTGGAAGGTCATTTTTGCTCTTCTTCCATTCACTGCTTTCAGAGGGACAACAGAATACATTTCATTCAACATTGGGGTACAAGTAAGTGTATGGAGCTGGAAGGCAGAGGTGTCAACGAGAGAACATGTTCTGAGCCCCCGGAATAAGTGTCCCAATGAACTGTGACACCCTGATGTCTCCTTCACAGGTATTAATTGGATTTCATGCCAGGTGAAGAGTTGCTTGACAAGCATGGCTGCCAAGGAAACTACTCCATGTTCGCTGGGGAGGAATGGGTGACGAGCTACATCTGCAGGAACAACTGTGTAGGAGGCTAATCTTGGAAGGAATTTGCTTACATTTCAATGAACTACAAGGAGCAAAACAGAATAACCCTCTGGTTTTGATTAAAATATCACATAACGCATGAACAAAAAGGACAATCAAAATGGATTGATGAAATATAAAATTCTCCCAACTAAGACCATGAGAAACCTATGAAGATCACTAGGGAGAATTTCTATATTGACTTCACGTTGAAGAATTTCAGGTGAGAATTAGAAGTAATATATAATCCACACTCACCATCGCCATTCTTGAAGATAATGCGCACCAGGTCTCCCAACTCATCCAAATTTTCAAACACCAAGTACAGAGGCCGCATTTTGGAATCCATAAACTTGCACTGTTCAACNGGAGCATTAATTAAGCACTAGTGACACGACAGTCATGGGTTCTTTTTTCCTGAAGCCATGAAGTTACAGTGTACCTTTCAAGCATTGTTGCAATTGCTTTAATTACAAACACAACTATGCTGTCTACTTGCTTTCCTCAATCAACACGCTATTAGCGGTTCTTAATTCTTTCATTTATACTTGTCACAACCAAGAAATCACCAACATGTGTTGAACAAGTCAGGGCAGAATGTCTTACTTCAAATGTCGCAGCTTGTAACTTGGATCAAGAGGAGAGCTGACTTTAGATAAAGCTCCTTGGTAAGTTTTCTGACGAAAAAGGTCCTTCATTGTTAATAAACCTTTTTCCTTTTTTTCCTGAAACACAGAGAATATTTTTTATCTATTTGCTGCTGCAGTACTTTCAACTTTCACCACCAGACGATACACAGTATAAAATATCTTGCATAACAAAGGTTTAACTTTTCCTAGCTTTAATGCTTTCTTGTTTTAATGTAAACATCAACTTATGATTGATACAAAAAACTCATTAATTTTCAATACCCTGTCTATAAGCTGTAGTAACTCGGTGACAGCCTTCATCTTGTTAAGAGCATGGGCCTGCAAAATGTAAAGTTATGAGGTCAATTGCCTATTTTGTGTATAGTTTCCTACTGTAATTTATATTTATTCATTTCTTTGTCGCATATGATTCATAACAAATGTCTTGGAATACTTAATGTTAATCCGTTTTCTTATCTTAACTTTCTTTGTCTCTCTTGCCCTTATAAAAAGGTTGTGATCTGTGCCACCTCAGTGGCCCATCTTCCCCTTCCAAGGGGACAAAGAACTAACTACCAGGGGCCTGCAAAATGTAAAATATTTTCTCGGCTAAGATTTTCACTGAGCTGGTCACTATCTTTTGCGAGAAACCTGGAACAAAATTTTCGTGCCCAATCTTTCCCAACGCCTTGAATGCAGAGGAACCAAGCTTCGTGTTTACAAGATGTCGGATGGAGAATACAGAAAAAGAATGCGCTAAACAAGTGCTCAAAACAAGATTTTATTTCAGTTACGTTACTCGTTATAAAGTAACTGATATCCGGGAATTATTTCAAACTTCTCATTTACATGGTTTGATACGGTTCAGTTATCAAATGATTGTATGTGCGTAACCTTAAAACCGTTCGTTGTTCTTTACAGAGTGATCGCTCGTCAAACTCCAGCTGGCGATCAACTCTCTCCCTGCCAGAGAATTTCACCGCCAGGTGGCGCTCAGCGACAACCCTGAACTACTGTACACATGCTCAGTGAGTTAAAGTCAGAGAGATCTGTGTCATGAAGCTTGATTTCACTTCTACTCAGCAATTCTACTCAGAGAGAAGGACCACTCCTTGTTAGCATTCAAATATTCCTATTATTCCATGTATTATCCCAAGAACATATGTAGCCAATTCCACATTAAATGGTCAACATGTTAATTCATTAAGACAGATGATCATATCATTAGGTGGCCGTGCACGTCCATGTACATGTACATGCAAGGTACATGCATCTAAAACGACTCCAAAACATCTGATCAATAAAACATTAAAATTAACATACCTGATTACTTCATTTGGTGTCAACTTTGACACTAAATTTCAATAATACTGTAATTTAATATCGGTACATACATGTATGCATCCCCATGCATCAGGTACATTACACCACGTCTGATACATGTTCATACCAAGCATTTCAGAAGCAACCCCTTTTCTAAAACTTTGACTCCGAGAATTCTCGGAGGTGGAATCCTACATGAATAACGTATAACCTGTAGGCCAATCGTCTGATCGGAGTGTTTACACAAAACCCATACTAACCTGGCGCTGCAGACTTTTCATGTGTGACGGCGCACCACGACAATAAGCCTCTAACATCAGACCAAACCTTACTGATACTTCTGGGTTATCCATTTCAGCTCTGATGGACAAATTCAAATAACAGCAGCTATACATGTAAGTACTGAGTAACTTCTCCATTTAGATGCAATCAATTATTAGTACAGCCACGTCACAAAAATCAAGTGCCTGGCTACCTCTGAATAAAGGTACCGTAATAATTTCAACCAAATTCTCCTTACAAGACAAAACAATCATGCACAATGTAATTGGTTATTTCAATAAGGAGAATTCACCCACCGTAATTTAACTTCTGCTTGCAGGCAGAAAAGTTGTAGAGATATAACTAAAAACACTCAGATATTAAAATGGAGACTGGCATTTGGATGAATGTGTTAGTTAGTAAGTAAGTAAGAGACTTTATTTTATGAGGGTGACATGTAACAGTAACTAACACTACTGATGAACTTGTGGCCCTCTAAAAAAAGACAAAAATACAATTCAGGAAAACAATGTACAGGAAAGCAAAGTACACTTCTATCGAGCTATAGAAACACAAGTGGAGGTTTGGGAGAACGAGAAGTGCTGTGGGAACACCAGCCGCAGGCGAGTGTTTCCACAGCTTTTTCTAGTTTTCCCAAACTTTCACGAGTGTTTCTATAACTCGATAGAAACACAGAGAACAAGTTTAATTTAAGAAATAGAAAACATGTACCGTGTTTCTATCGAGTTATAGAAACACGAGTGGAAGTTTGGGAGAACAAGAAATGCTGTGGGAACACCAGCCGCAGGCAAGTGTTTCCACAGCTTTTTCGAGTTCTCCCAAACTTTCACGAGTGTTTCCATAACTCAATAGAAACATGGAGAACATGTTTTCTATTTCTTTTAGGAAACACTGCGACGAAAAAAATAAAAACAGCTTGTTCACTTTGATCATCAAAATGTAACTTCTCTTCGCTTGCGCCATGGATACGTCAACAGCTCGTGTTAGTTCCGTGTTTCCATCGAGTTATAGAAACACGATTTTTAACCAATCAGCACGCGTATTTCCTTAAGGCTGTTTTCTAAATTTCTTTCAGAAAACACCGCGTCAAAAAAAGGGAAACAGCTTGTTTACTTTAAAATCAAAATGTTAATTCTCTTCGCTCATGCCATCATTTCGTCAACAGCTTGTGCCAGTGGTGTGTTGCTATCGAGTTTTAGTGTAAAACTAATAGCGTTCTATCACGAATGCCGTTCTCTGATTGGCTGCGCTACTCACTATCTATTCTGTGACAGATAGTGAGTAGCGTGGCAGTGTGCGCTTGTTAACAAAATGACGGCTGCTTCTTGGCGTTTTCGAAGTGTCTGTGAAGGGGATCTAGGTAAAGTTTTGAACGACTAGTAGATTTATACTAAAACAAATAGATTATTCGTTCTCGATTTCTATGCGTGATAGTTGACTTGGGCCGCGCCGTTGTCAACTATCACGCGATAGAAATCGAGAGCGAATAATCTAATTGCTTAATAGAAACACGGTTAAGAACCAATCAGCGTGCATATTTTCTTAGGTCTGTTTTCTAAGTATACAATATTTATCATGTACATGTATGTACAGTGTACATTGTACATTGTAAATAAAGGTGAAGAGTTCATTTTACCTGAGAAACCAAAACAACTGATGCCCAAAGTGCTGATTCTTAAGAGCTCTCTTGAGTAAAAACTCTGCCAAGTCATTATCAAGGTATGATTCATACTTTAGAACCTGCAGAAAGGACAACAACAAATGTAAACATTAAGGGTTCCCTCTTGAGACGCACAATAACCAGTGTACCCCTCATATCTGTCCACTTGGCAAGGTACAAATATGCGTTCACCGTTGAGTGAAAAATGTCAAAAATTCCATCACTGGGATCAAGAAAATCTAACAAGAAACTTGTTTACCTGGACTAGCTGAAGAAGATACTGTGAAATTTCCCTGTCACTGCAAAGAGAAATTTGAGGCAACAAAGTCTTAAGCCCATAACTAAATGCATACACATACGTGTACAGTACCAATAACTGTTCAAGTGTGTTCGCAGGGGTTTCATTACAGACCAGGTACCGGGCAAATTGATCAGCTGTGAGAATGAGTTTGCCCGCTTGGTTTGACCATCTACAGGAAAATTTTTCTTTTAAAGAAGTTCAGTTGAAAAAGTTTTACTTTGTGAAAACCGGTTGCCCTCTTGCTGAAAACATTAATGGAGCCCCAGTGGGTGTAGCAAAGGTATAAGATTTGAGAGGGCAACTACATGTAACCCTAACCTAAAAAGCCGTGTAGACAAACTAAAAATCTGTTTTAGTGTGTAATCTAGTTTCTAATTTACTTTCTGTAATGCCATTCAGATGTGTAAATAACCAATCACCATTCTAAGTTATTACAGAATGATCCATGTAATAAAAAAACTTACTGTAATTCACAATTCTTATTTCATCCCAAATACTATGCACATGCAAATTTTACATGTACATATATGTGCAATGTCATAGTTTTAAATGACATACCACAATTACAAACAATTGTAACACCAACTACACGTAGCAACTCCGTCATTGCTAGATCACCATAGCGTAGTAAAGTTATCCAACATAATTCAACAAAATACCCACCTCATTTTTTCAATGCACTGCACTGCAATCTTCCTCACTTCCTGGTCAGCATACGTGAAATCCAACAGTTCTAAAGCCTGCTCTGGATCCAGCCTGGGCCAAGTTTGAAGCAGAATTTGCATCTGAAAACATTATATATTAAATAATTATAAATTATTTCTGGTATTTTACAGTACACATAAATTATATTTTATGATGATCTTCTTATCAAACTATACCAAAAAGTTTGAAATAAAATGAATTGTCGAAGTTTTTACAAGCTCTAAATGTTAGCATCCGAATAACCTTTTGAAAGCTGCAAGTGAAAGCGAATTGATTGTTTTTCGCTTAATAGGGCTCACTTATTTAATTTGTCCCTAATGTCTGCAAACATGTTTTCGTTGTAAATATGTCAAACTAGCTACAGTAAAATTTGAGGGCAAACAAAACAAAATTCCCTTTGACTTACAAGTAGCTTTCAAAAAGGACCTAAAAGATGATTCGGATGCTCATGTTAAAAGGTCGTGAAAAATTCAACTATTCATTTTATTTCAAAATTAAATGTTTGGTATAGTTTGATAGCCAGCTCTATAAGCTTTAATTTGACATACGGGTTTAACAAATCGAATATGGTTTAGCGTGGTCTGTACTCTTATCGACAGCGAGTACGCGTGGATGTTGTGGACTCACGAGGCCCAGCCGAGTGAGTCCACAACAAATTTTGACCACTGTGATGACACGTACTCGTTCTCAATAAGAGTACAGACCACGCCAAACCACATTCAATTCGTTTTTTACCACTGACAATATCAAAGATAACGAAAGAAATCTTCGTCACGATTTGTTGACAATTGAATACTCGGACTTGAAAGTGCACGCGCTGCAGGGCTCGTCAGGGTAATTTTAAAGTTGCACTCATCAAGAAAGCCAGCTGAGCTTATTAAGCCTACTTACGATAGTTAGTTTTCTTCCTAGTTACCTCGGCAGGGGTAATTTGCACAACACTGAATGCCCAATGCCAAATGCCAAATTCCCTGTTTTTGTCCCGTTAGTTTCACTTGTGTTTGCTTAGGGCTACAGTACCTTTTATGTTTTGGAACGGGCCAAATACAACATCGTTAATGCTGTCCTTTAAAACAAATGCTAACCGCAAGCAAATATGAGCGCAATTAACCCAAAACAAAACATGTATTTTGGGTTTGGCATTCTGCATTTCGTGTTCAGTGTTCTGCAAAATTCCCCCACCATAGTTACATCCCTGGGATTTGGGCACTTAAATGAAAGCTTGATACAATATACATGTTTACTAATACATACCAAAGCAACATCTTTATTGCTGTTCCACTTCACACAACACAACAGTTTTGCTAGAGCATGCGGAAAATGTTCTCGACAGTCAATTCTGCAAGAATGATACCTACTGTTAGTTTTGGAACCACACAACAATAGCAGATGTTAGAGCATAAGATACATTGTAAAGCTGACGAGATTAAAATTAACCAGGCAGAGATCACTGAAGATCAAGAAGACAAACCTCCTCTCCCAAACAAGCTCCTTTTCTTGTTCAAAGATTGGGGCCAAGGGTTCACGGTTTACAATCTGCCTTAGTTGCTCAATCAATGTTTCATCTGCTCCTCCCTATTGCAGTAAATTGACAATAGATTTGTTGAATATTTTATTCTATGTGCCGTAACTTGCAGCGCTCTGTAGTCACTGTCTGTCTTTGGAGTACTAGCACAAGGTAGCATTTGACTGACTTATCTAACCGGTGACCATGATAAAGCTTGGCAGCAGCTTGAAAACTCGCTGCAGCAGTCACGGTCAAACTGGAAACTGTTCTTTTGACAGCAACTCTGCAATGTTACAGCACAACTTGCAACTGTCGATTCATAATTTGCTATTGCAAGTGGTGACAGAGGATCTGTTTTATTTTTGGCTAGTTCTGGTTTTCATTTTGCCATATATTGATGAAATAACACTTTGGTGTCAAGGTGGAGAAAAGAATTGGTCAAGAGTTAATCAACAGACTGCAGGAAATAAGTGGATGAAAATCAGTAAAAAACTGGAAACCTATTTTCACAATTGAATATGCGTGAATCCACAACGAGTGGAGCAAATTAATATTCTTCAGTGCATCTCCCCAGCTTTGTAATTTCAACCCAGCCTGTGGCTTATTTCTCTAAATCTGTTAATATTTAAACCATGAAGGAAAGAAAAATTATCTTGAGTTCCTTCACTTTGATACAGAGGTTTTTCAACGTGTACCTAGGAAAATGACAACTTGCTCAGACAAGTAAACTTGAATTGAAAGTTAGAAGTTGCTTTCCGCAAACACTGCTAGTCAATGTTTGAACATTGCAGAGATCCCATCAAAACAACATCTGCTATGACTGAAATTTAGCTTTATCAACTTCATGTGTACAATGCTGTAGTAATTGCTGTGGGGTGAAGCTGATAGAAACCTTGAATTTGTATTTAGTTGAGCTTGACGGATAAATTAAAGTTAAAGCAAATTAAGTCAATTTGTTTTTGCTTGATGCAAATTAAATCACATCACAGTTCAAAACTTAGGCCTACAAGGTAGAATGTACTCACAAAAATGTTGAAGTCAGTAACTTCTGCAGCTAGTTCAGCAATCTACACATACAACAAAAAGAAACAGAAACCCTTTCAGGTGCAAACTTGAAAACGTCAATTCTTTTAACTTCATTATTACACTGCAAATGTCTTCTTAGTGTTAAAATATAGTTTAGAGACTGATGATTGTGATCATCAGTCATCATCAAAAAGGCAACATTCCCTATGTGATGACTTTCTTCATACAAGTACATGTACTTACAAATTGTACCTGTTAGAAATATATTGACAATGGAATGAGCAACACTGATCAGTCACAACTTACAAAGGCTGCTTATTTATTGGATCTTATTGATATCAATATTTGAACATCTCACGTCAGGTGTATTGAATAAATTATGGCTACTGTCTGGAAAAATTTACGTTTTGTTCTGGGGTGAAATTGCAGCCTAATATCTACAAAATTGTGTGGCTTATACATCCACATTTACATAATTTCCAATGGTGATGCCATTAAAATCACACAACATCTTACCTTCTCAAATGATGGATACACAACAGCATGGGAGTAACTTGGAAATTCAATGCTGAGTGAGACTGAGGTAGCAGTGTTGATATTGGACACCACTGTGCCAACTGGATTGAGTTGGTCTGCCATTGTTTCAGGTACAGGCCATGCAAAGAGCTTCAATGGACCCGACCGCAGCTTACCCTGGTAATCAAACAGGGTCGTGTTGACCCATGCAACGGGAATGGTTTCCTAGAAAGACAAAACAAATATACAAACTACGTTGATTAATTTTGTAATTAATTTTTCATTTTATTTTGTTAAGTGTTAAAATAGTATTTTTCAAGATCTTTTTGTTATTTAAAGTAACACATCTTTAACAAATTACAATTACAGAAATGTGCTGTTCTATTACTACACCCATACTACACTGTCTACTTACAGGTGTCTTTACACCATGTGCTACTATTAAACTTATCAGTGACCAATCCATACCTTGAGATAGGGGGTGGGGAGGGGGAGATTCTGCTTGCCCTACCAGCTTTTCTTCCTTCTGCGATTTTTTCTTTTTTGACCCACAATAAGGATACAATAAATATACATGGGGAAACAAACAACTAATAAAATTTAATAGATATTACATCTTGATGACCTTGATGATCTTGTATACTCTAAAACTGTCATAATTGTGGTATACAGTCAATGTTAATTACTTGAATGTAACTTTCATTATGTGGGTGGTGTCGTGGCAATGAACCAATAAACCAGGCAAGAGATATGTTTTTAGAACATCATGTTATGCAGACTCGAAGAACTAGAAGAATATGCAAATACACACAAGCATGCGAATAACTTTGGTCATGTGACCGGAACTGCAAACAGTGTAAAACCAGAACTGAATATTACATCCCCTTTTTTCCAAAAATGAGAAAAAAAAAAAACAAAGCTATTCTGAACCTTAAGTTAACAACAAAAATAATAGAAAAAATGATAACCGTTCAGCACAGTTCTACAGGGTTAATCCCTTGAGACAGTGTTCCTCTTAACGCAACTAAATAAATTTAACTTAAACGTCCATCCTGGAAGGTGCCTTGACCACCTGTACTTGGGGCTGAGGTGACTGGCTGAGCTACTCCTGGGGTTGGACTGGCAGATTGAGCAGCTCCTGNAGTCAAAACTTGACCACACTTACGCACTTAACAAATAGATTAAATGTTGCCGTGTCTGTTCAGTAATACTGTACATGTCTATCACAGATGATGTAAAAATGTGGCACAAGAACAAGAAAGTGGTACAGAAGGTACATGTAATCATTACTGTAGACCACAGATGGTGTCAAAATGTGGTAAGAACAAAAAAGTGGCACAGGAGGTGACAGCTAAGTGAGTCACTATGTCACTTAATAAATGCAATTAAGAAACAAAAAAGAATGTTAATGACATCATGAAGGGGGGAATGGATATTCTCTTCAAATGCACAATACAAAGTACAGACACACATGTAAAACTACAATTTCACAGATATCCTGAGTTCATAAAGGATTAGTGAGTGCAAGCAAGTTAATTTGAATCAACTGGCACAGGTACAAATAAGAGAGATCTATACACCTTTCTCTAGTAATATCAATAATGAGCCATAAATTATACATATATAATGTAGAAGGAAAAAAAGGTTGTTACATGTAACTGGACCACTGGGGAATATTAAGATTGATTGAGATCACAGCTTCCTTCTCAATGACCATAAAAAACCCCAAGTTAAAAATACAATGCCTGTGTGTGTTTTCTTAATGGTAAGGATTAAAATATGGAAATCAGGGCTGTGCTCTAGATGCACCCAGGTGCTATGGGCGACTAACTTTTGCCTTTGGGCGACTGTTAAAACTTACTTGTTTCCTATAAGTTGAAGTGCTGGGAACCCAGGATTTCATGGTTAGGAACCTTTGTGTTCCTTGTAATGTTTCTTAGACCACAGCCTTGGAAATAAACGTAGTCCACGTACCTGCATCAAATCACCTGCATTCACATTAGCTGCTGAAACAACCTTGATTCGCACATGGGTCTCGATATCCCACAGTGATAAGCTTGTAGACTGCGGCTTTTGAGGTAGTGGCGGAGCTGCTCCAGGAGATCTGGAACTTAACCCACTTACATCAAATACCTCAACTTGAAGTGACGAACGAAGCACAAGTGAAAGCATTGGTCTGACACCCTTAGAGACACAGCTGCGAATGTACTGAAACAAAAACAAGAAGCAAACACAGTACAATCTAACTTCCATTTAAAAAAAATTGGCGTCAGGTTTTCATGCATCTGTCCTGTTACTGATCATAAATTTTGTCAATCGAAAACATTATCAAAGTATATATATTAATTTGTTTCCTTTGTTTCAGTGGCATGCCTGTAAACTACAATCTTGGACAAAATAAATGGAACACCTGGACCACCCCTCCCCCCATTTCAATGATGCCAAAATGGCGCGTTTTTGCNCCCACTTACATCAAATACCTCAACTTGAAGTGACGAACGAAGCACAAGTGAAAGCATTGGTCTGACACCCTTAGAGACACAGCTGCGAATGTACTGAAACAAAAACAAGAAGCAAACACATTACAGTCTAACTTCTATTTAAAAGAAATTGGCGTCAGTTTTTCATGCACCTGTCCTGTTACTGATCATAAATTTTGTCAGTTGAAAACACTATCAAAGTATACATATTAATTTGTTTCCTTTGTTTCAGTGGCATGCCTGTAAACTAGCTAAGCTTAGTGCTTTAATGGATAAATAGGATTTACATTTACATTTTACAAAGTAGCCTGTACATGTAGATCTACTCAGCTATGGCTCGTGGATCCACAAACTACTTTCATTGACAATGTTATCATGAAATTCATTATCAAAAACATGACAGACATGTGAAAAACTGAAGTCAATTTGCTTTTCAGAATGAATGCATAAATTATTTTACGTCTGTCTGCTTATTGACAATGCAAATAAGCCAATGAGTGTACAACAATTGCTGCAGTTTATGAACAAAAATAATTAATGGTCTCCTCCTAGATGGAAGCAGGTCGTTCCACTTGCAAAATGATTTGCCCAATGACAAATCATCTGCTTGTGGACTACAAGTCAGTTCATCCAGATTAAAAGTCCAAACATAGCTGTGTCATTATTATTCCTCATTCTTCACAGTCAAACCAAGTGAAGCATACCCCTCAAGATTACATTAATGAATTGATTATTAACCGCGTGGCCATGGGCCGAGCGTGGTTCATGTTCTACCCTTGGTTTATCTTTTTTTTTTTTTGTCGGTGAACAGACCCAAGCTCCCTCTGGGCCAAATTTTGAGTCACACAATGTGTGATGTTTATTCACCAAAAGCTGTTAAAACATTAATACATGGACAATTTTACGGATATTTTTTTCTTTGTTGTGGGTAAAATATATTTTCTTTTGATTTTATTGAAGCGTTGGACTCAAAGGGAACAATAAATACATGTAAAGAAGGTATTACGTCAGCCATGGAATGCGCTGAGGTTGCAGCTGTCACTTTCGCTACGTGACAAATAAGATCGTGGTTACTTTACAAGTTTATTTCGCCAGAAGCAACAGTCATTAATTTATTTGCAATTTTGCGATTATTTCTTGTGGTTTTAGGCAAATGAAATAAATTCTTTGGCTGTTTCATAGGAGCAAGTTCGGTGACCAGAGGGAAAATTAAATATTTGCAAGCCAAGCAAAGAATATGTCAGAATGTGCAAGGTTTATGTCATTGGAAGGGAAATAACCACCGCACTAAAGATAGCCGTGGATAATGGAAGTCTTGAATTATGTGACTCGTGTGACTACTTTACTAGCCCTTTACTCGTAGAAAACACCAATTAAATTTAATCATGACTCTTAAGAAAGAAAGCTGTTGTTAATAGTGTTATTATCACATCGTTCATATCATTCCTGCCCATACATATCCCGAAGCAAGTTCCAGATTAAGACCATTACATCATCCGAGATTTAACAACGGCTACGACCGATGGTGCAATAGTAGAGTTTGTGTTGATCAAGTGATGTGATGTCTACAGTAACAAAAGAATCATCAAGGACTGCTTTGGAATGTGCACTGCATTGTGACTGTAGTGCTAAGCAAACAGTTAAATTTTAAAAGTGCGGTTATAAGATCTAACAGATCTTCTTGTTTGAATATTGAACCTGCTAGTTGTTTCAAGAATGCAATAATAAATTGATTACTGGAAAATTGAACCCACTAGCCATTCCAAAAATACAGCTAATGGTTTTAATGTTCCAAAAAATCAATTCAATATTGATTTTTGAAATGACTAGCGAGTTCAATATTCAAATAACCAATTCATNGTGTAATAATACAGTTTGTGTTGATCAAGTGATGTGATGTCTACAGTAACAAAAGAATCATCAAGGACTGCTTTGGAATGTGCACTGCATTGCGACTGTGGTGCTAAGCAAACAGTTAAATTTTAAAAGCGCGGTTATAAGATCTAACAGATCTTCCTGTTTAAATTTGTTAAGCCATATATACATGTACAATCAGTTTTATTTAAAACTGGATCATTGCATAATACAATTTGAGTTTTCATTGGCTTGTTAGCCATAATACTTGTACATCATTCAGGAATATGCCATGCTCTGCAAACATGGTTAGTTTATATTTATAATTTAATTATTATAAACAATTATTGGATGAGGCTTTTGTGATATACAGAATAATCAAGGTCGAGGTAAGTGTTATCAGCTGAAGCCAAAGGCTGAGGCTGATAACAATAACCGAGACCTTGATTATTTCAGATATCACAAAAACTGAATCTCATAATTGTTTTATTATACATTGTTTTACTGCGCCTTTCAATAACATGCGGACTCTAAAATTCAAAGCTCAACCGACAAATGCGTTTTTCGCTACCGTCAATCAAATGTTCAGCGGCTCCTCCCAGCTTCTGACTACTGCTGAGCGTACGATAATCAAATCAAATTGTCAAGCACAGTTCGGACAACATAGTCGCTAGCTGGGAGGAGCTGCCGAACATTTGATTGACGGTAGCACAAAACGCATTTGTTGGTTGAGCTTTGAATTTCAGGGTCCACATGTTATTGAAAGGCACAGTAAAGAAAATAACGACAAATGCATTATTGCACCGAACACAGTTTATTTTCGACAAGCCATGTTCTTACGTGAACTTGACACCGCTCTTGAAAACCATGCATTCTGCACACAACCAACAGATTATCAACTAATCTGCTAGCAGATTAGTG